CAGACGCGAAATACCTGTCTGGTATGCTTCGAAACCCTGAAATGGGACCGAATGCAACCATCAACAGATGGATTGACGCATGTCTAATGTTCCATTNTAAGTTACAGCATGTCCAAGGAAAGACCTTTGGCGCAGATGGATTATCACGCAGAAACGCTCAACCAGGTGACGATGTGTATCCACCTTCAGATGAACATCTCGACGAACCCATTGGTGTCATTGAAGTGTTACCAGATCCAGATGGAGGGGAGCCCCCTTTGGATTTCGAAACCTTCAAAGATCAAATTGACTCGAGGGGGGGATATATCCAACAATTGGCTCTAGACATCTCAGATTTTCAGGATGAACTAGACAGGGAAATAGCAATGACACAGAAAATAGCTAAAGATGTGAAAACAAGAGTGGACAATGATCCAGATCATACAAAAAGCAGCCCAGAACAGAAGGAATTTCTTCGAACTTACATGATTTCGACTTTAACTTCACTAGGCCTGGAGGCCAGGTTTGACGAACTAGAAACAGAGCAACCTTACCCGGAAACTCATAGGTCATTCATTGGACAGTCACAGGATGAATTCCTTCTTATACTAAGAGAATGGCTGAAAAATCCTAAAAAGATCGAAGGATATTCTGATAAAAAGTATGGCGCTTTTGTAAGATTTGCAAAAAGTTTCTTCCTAGACAAAGAGGATAGATTATATCGTCGAAGCATTGAATCACGTCACAAGCTAGTGGTCGACAAGTCTCACCGAATGTACATGATGAGATCTGCACACGATGCTATGGGACATAGGGGAGCATATGCAATGCAGAATATGTTAACGGAGCGTTTTTGGTGGCCTGAAATCGAAAGAGACGTACATTGGTATGTGAAAACATGCCAGCGTTGTCAGGAACGAACCAAACGTGTGGTGGAAATCCCACCCACCGTGACACATACACCATCTATTTTCCAACGACTACACGCTGATACCGTACACATGACTCCGAAATCAAATGGATGTAAGTACATCGTCCATGGGAGGTGTGCACTGTCAAGCTGGGTTGAAGGAAAACCCCTAAAAAGTGAAACTGCAAGAACTGTCGGCTTATGGCTTTTTGAAGAAGTCATCTGCAGATGGGGTTGTCTAGAAGTAATAATAACTGACAATGGTTCGGTTTTCCTTGCTGCTGTAAAATGGCTCGAAGAAAAATACGGGATAAAGGGTATTAGGATATCTCCGTATAATTCTAAGGCAAATGGCAGAATCGAAAGACCCCATTGGGATATTATACAAATGCTCACAAAGTGCTGTGGACCCAAGAACCTTGCCAAGTGGTATTGGTTCTTTTGGCAAGTACTTTGGGCTGACAGGATCACGATTAGAAAAAGATTTGGTTGTTCGCCGTTCTTTATGGTGACAGGCGCACATCCAATATTACCTCTCGACGTACAGGAGGCTACCTGGTTAGTAAAATTACCAGATCGT